AGGGGATCAAAGTTGTAATTGTTCATACTCTGGGAACCAAAACTGTACCAAATGACATGGGAATCCAACAAATTGTAAAAATATTTTTTAAAAGATAAACCACAATGATAACCTCATGAGAGGAAATGTCAGGATAATCCAATTGTCTATTATCATTTGCACATCATAAGCCGTTGTTGGCAATGAAGATCTTGGATCTCAGACTCCCTCCAACTAACATAAAATGAAGTTATTTAGATTTGTGATTGACTTGCAAAAGAATAAACTGAACATTAGCTGGAATTTTGTGAATGCATAATAAGAAATATACGTTGACAGTTAAACAGTAAGTAGAGTACAAAAGTTACAGTATAATGGTAAAATGTCATGATTCCTCCTGAACGCATGAATGTTTACCACATTTTACACCAATGGATAACATGACCTTTCAACCCAAAAGTGTCAAACTGTTGGTGGTACCTGAGAAAAACTCAGACGATCACCAAAGAGCCTTAAGCCTGGGCACCTTTGTTGCATGTCATTCTACTCTTCCCCCCTCTTATTTCTCTACAGTGTCAAATAAAGGCAACTCTACAGTACCTATGTGATGGTAGCATTCAATAAAGTCATTGCGCAGACATTATAACAAAATAAGACAAACTTTGATTTACTAATAGCACTACAGGAAAAGTCAGCAGAACACCCAACTCTGTATAATTAAAATGCCAGGGACCATGGATATTCGTACAACAAATCATAAAAATAAAACAAAGACCTTTAGGTCCGGACCAATGTTTGGTAGCTGTCATAGCAACAAAAAAAACATGATAAATATGAATGCAGCAGTGCGCTTCTGTAAAAACATGGCGCCTATACTACCCACAATGCAGTTCGGCCGCAGATTCCTGTTTGTTATGCTAGTCAGGTCCTGGTCAGGGCTAATGTGGCCTCGAACTGAGATTTGGCGCGGGTCAGGTAAAATCACTTATTTTCTAACCAAAACATGTTTATTTCCTTTCTTCAAACGTAGTCTTTGCACTGATCTTCCTGGAGTCTCTGATGTTTTTATACAACTTTTGTCAGGAGTAGTAGTTCTGTAAAAAATAGTCTGGACTCACTACTGCCAGCCCGAAACAAACATGCCTTATGTCTTTACTTTAGTACCCTGATTTAGTAAATTTATACCTGATTCTAGTAAAAATTGTTGTTTCCAACTCCAAGTTTTTCAGCAGTTTGTTCAAAATGGCGGTAACATACAGCATTTCATTAGCCTTGTAACATTTCTAGCATACATTTTCTTGGTTTAGGGCCATTTTAAACAGTCTGAGGGGAGGGGTGTATTAAGTATGTACAGTTATATTGTCATGATGTCAATGTTCATACTTATCTCAGACTTTTGTAAAACTATTGAAGTAGCCTAGTAAATGAAAAAGTAATTTACTAGCAGAATCTAATACAATTTCATTGAACTCTTTAAGCCTGTCAACAGACCACACTGGGCACCTTACCTGTAAGTATTTCCCACTTATTATTTACATGAATTACATTTCAAGTTCCTAAACCTACTGAGTATATTTAAACTATTGTAATATAAATAAGTGATGTTAAATGAATAAATTCCATTAGATTGTAATTGAAACTGAGAAGTGTATCACTTGAACGTCGCCTGAATGGGGTCTTGTATAGATATTCTTATAGCAGTTGAAATATTCTTATTTCAGAACCCCCTGCTATATATATCAGCTGGCCTGATTAATGCATTTTCCAGTATGCGTTAAATGTATTTGAGCCGTTTTAGAGATGTAATTTTGTCCAGGCACCCTCTCACGGCTAATGCAACTTCTGATTGCCGCTGATGTTGAGTGTTACACTAATGAGTATTATGGTTTTCAATTGAAAACCTTTGTGCCACTGTACTGGCCCCGCTTGTGCAGATCACTGTGATGAATACTCATCATACTTTATGATACTTTAGCACATTGTCACTAAATGAAGGCTGCCGGGTCAATTTTCAATTTTTTCTCCCTCTTCAAATGAAACAAGACAAAACCTTGGAACCCTTCACATCTCTAATTCAGATTGATTGAATCCACTCGTGGCCACAAGGGGCCTCATCTCACTGTAGTTTTCTCTGCTTTTTCTGCTATGAGTGCACATTTCACATTGCACTGCACAAGCTCAGCCGACTGACCTGCTAGTGGGAAGTGGCATTATTGTTTAGTAGGTACATGTGCTGTCTCATTATTTCCACCAGCAGTAGACTACTGTTTAATAGAGCCATCGTCATGTTGCAATGCAGGATGATGATGCACTGTCTTCACATATCTGGTGCTGTGTTGAACAATCTAGTGTGGATGTGGATTGTTTGGACGATCTGCAGGCCTCTGTGCACTTGTCAGAAGGATGTTAAATCCCTTTTGCTGCATCAAACCACACAGTAAAGTGTACTGATGCTTAATTATTCCCCTCACAGTTCACACACTAAGTGTATCTTGGGCCCTCATGTCTCATTGCACCTGTCTGCAAATACTGACAAGTATAAACGAGATGGTTTAATTCAAAAGAAGAACTCATTTTGGGGGAAAATGCAGATTGGCTTTCGTGCAGTGATTTTTTCTGTTGAATGAATAATCCATTTGTCAAGAAACAATTAATTGTAATCTGCATCTGTTAAGATATTTGGTTCTATTGCTTTGGGTAATTAATATAAAATAAATACAATTGTAAATATGTATAGTTCCAGCAACTCTAATGTGAATATTTGCAGCTTTTCTTTGTCATTACATCCAAATAATATTAAAATGTTTAGTTGACTGTTGGCAAACCAAAGTGGATTGGCAGATTGATCCTTAAATTAATTGTTTCTTCAGCACTATTTCTGATAGAATGCACATCTGAATACAAAAAAAACTATTTTGGTCAGCAACAGTCTACTTTCTTTCAATTTTTTTTAATGTTGTCCTTTATTTTTTAGTGCACACTGAATATTATACGAAGATGTCAAAGCTTTCGCATCATCTGTTCTGATCATGATACTTCTAGTGTCTAAGATATCATGCAGTATATATTTTTTTCTAAAAAACAAAGCAACATCCAGGCTGAGAAGTGCCATAATCATTATGTCTACTCCAGCTCATTCCCCCTCTGTAGTCAATCAACCATTCAGGTGCAGTGGATTGAAATCCAAAGAAGGCAGTGCACTTTCTTCTGCAGTCGAGGTTATTACAGTGGATCCTGCAGTGGGCCCTCAGTCGCTGCGCTTTTGTAAAGGGGGACACAGTCTGTCTATTATATTGTGTCAGAGTGGAGATGTGGGAGGTTGATTTATGTCTAAAACTGTCATGAGTTTCAATCTACCCTCTCTCACTTTTATTATTTCCCAAGAAAAAAAAGGGGCTGAACATCCATTAAGGCTTGCATTTCCTCGCTCTCCCCTATCATGTTTGATCATGCAAATAATTCCATGTAGATTCCATATGAAGCAGGCAGAGAGGCTTAATGCCATTATTGTGTGAAATGACAACAACAGTATCAAGCTTGACTTGAATATTTGGTTTCACCTGTTGGCGTTTCTGCTACTGTTACCTTATGGCGCCTCCACCTCTCTGCACTGAGACAGACTGAGGGAGTTTTGGACCGGAGCCCAGCTGTGTGAGCTCCCCGCTGAATATGATACCTGTGTGGACGAGCCCCAGCGTCTTAGCCCTCAGGTTCCCAGGAGAGACGGGCAGGAAAGTTGGAGTCCCCCCCCGACACACCCCCACCTCCCACCATCACTGCTTTTCTTATCGTGTTCGCGTTTCTTTTGTGCTCCTTGGATACCCACATACCCCGAGGCTACTGAGCCCCCTCTTCACCGTCAGTGAACCTGGCCGTTCCCTTTTCTCTGCTAAATGAGTCCTCTTTAAGATAATGTTTGATGCGCTGACAGCCAGAACCAAAACACTGTAAAAGAAACCGAGTTTGACATCTTTTAATTGTACGTCAGAAAGCAGAGATTGTGGTTTGTTGGACTGCCTTCAGATCATGCTGCTGATATGGTAATTTGCTCAAGTGAGGGACGTGATGAAAGTGGTGGTGTTGATAGTTTAGAAGTAGAAGTCCCTGGAGTCCAGTCTGCTGGTTCCCCTCTCCATAAACATGACATGTTCCCTTTGACAGTATTTGTTTCAGTAAATAGACATTTGGCAAATCTAAAAATAGCAGCAGTTATTGAGGTTTATTTTTCAAATAACACAATTATCTTCTAAAAAATATTGTTTAACAGAGACATTTTTAATCTCCTGCAATAAACCAAAACAAGTGTCCATTATGGTTTTAAATAGATAGCAGATGTGCATGAAATAAAAAGTCCTGAAAGTGCCAGTGATTTATTTTTTGTTGCAATATTTGCAATTATAGATTTCAATTTTACACCCAGAGCTTGTGGTTGTGACATTCAGCCAAGTGAATTGGGATCATGTTGAACTGCAAATCAACAGTTTATTAAGCTGAATTTCAATTTAGATTTCTTAAAAATAGATCAGCTGGTGCACATAAAGCACTGGATTGTGTTATTGTGATTGACAGCGACTGAGCAGCTGCATTACAAAATGTGTTTTTGTTGTCACAAGTGATGCATACTTGTGGAAATAATCCTGTCCTTCATAATTGCCCGATAGCTTTTTGAAAACCTTTTCACTGCCCCTTTTTCTTTCTGTCGAGCTTTTTTAATTTAACAAATGCAAAAGGCTGTATGAGTTTTGAGTCATCATACTACATATAATTATCAATGACTGGAACCTGCTGTGGCATTACATTTTCATTTACTCCATGTACAGTACTAAAATATGACTGAACTACCAAACCAGGATGTTTGTTGAAAAACCATAGACCTATTTTCAATGTGTTCTTTAAAAGTAAATGAGTTGTGATTTATGAGTGGTTGAAAGAACGGAAAACATTCATGTGCTGCACAGCGTGGAGGATTTAATTGTGTAGTTATTTCTGCAAAGAGAACCAACAGAAAACATTGAGAGTGGGCTTCTTGTTTTGATCTGCACATGAATAGCCTCCTTGACTAGCTGTTATTTCTCAACACTGACTTTTCTTGTACTGCACGACCTGCTTGCGTATTAATCTCTTAAATGAGCCATGCTGCAGAGTTGGATGAACACGTGCTTTCCTAGATGTAGTTTTCTAATTAAAACTGTCCCATTAGGCTGTAATTGGCGCTATCTGCGGCCAGGACAGGATTGCATGGGAGGGGAGCGAGAAGTCAGACTGAGATGGTATCGAGCCGAGGAGACAGGAAGCCTCTGTGTAATCTCGTCAGGTTTGAGATCGAGGCTGCGATGAAGCCGGCTGGACTGAACCGTAGCTTCAGAGTGAGTGAACTGAACTGCTGTGAAATCTTATCTTTGTTGTTTCCACAGGAGCCTGGCTTTCACCAGTGTTAACAAGTTTAAATACTCTGTATAGGGAAGTAGAGTGTTGTGGTTTTGATCTACAATCTGAAGGGATAGGTAGTTTGTTTATGTCAAAACACAGGGGGGTCAAATAACACCAGTTGAAGCTAAATGTGTGAAGACCGGTTGTTTCTTTGCTGCGTTTATGAGAAGTCCAGTCAGATCAATTTGAAACGTTCTCCTTCTCTGTGACGTTCTCAGTTTCAAAATATTATTTGGCTGCAGGGCAAACTGACAGGGAACATTATCCGTTTCATACTTAATTGAAGTAATAGATGTAGCTGCTGAGGAGGTGTTTTCCATTCAGAAGAATTCACACAAAGTGTATTTTTTACAAACCTTTCCTGAGTAATGGATAGGTTGCTGGGGGTTGTATGTGACCTACAGTAGATTGAGAAACGCTCAGTAAACCGTACACAAGAATGAAGGGATAGTGAGAAGACTGCTATTAAATTACACATGTGTCACTCACAATACGATAACAACAACGCTCTCACAGTGTTTTTTCCAGCAAGCTTACTAAGTAAATAGGAATGCTGCACACACACACACACACTGACATTTGCCAGATGCTCGGTGCTAATTAGGGCCAAGTATTCCCCCTCGTATGGAGTGTGTGAGAAACCACAAGTGCACCGCTGGTCGACCTGAAAGACCTGACTGGGGCTGAGCTCCGTGTTTGTACTCTGAACGTTGAACATAACTAACTGATTGTTATTCAGAGCAGGAATTTGTTGTTTTAGTTTGCATACAAGGAGAAGCACATGAGGTCCATTTTTCTTTGATGCATGTTACATTTTTTGAGAAGGATCTCAGCTCATTTAGAGTGCAAATAAACAAATTAAAATGTATTTAATGTATAAACATTATTGTTGAATCCAGAAAAGCCCAGGATCTCTCAAAAAGCTCCAGTTAGATGCATGAGCAGATATTGCTCTGCCTCTCGAGTCATTTAAGATCGTGACATTATTGCTGCCTGTGTGGGTGAGCCGCCGCTAAACACAGGTGCTGAGAAGAGATATGCTTTCGCCTTGTTGCTATTTTCAGCAGTTTACCATCGGCACAGTATCCCATTCACTTCGTGACATTCATCATTTGTCATCTAGAATCCCCGTTTTTAAATCTGAGCCACCATGCCTGCCTACCAGCTTCCAAATATAATCTGCGCATATATAAGACCTGTCCCTCCCTCCTGCATAATGACCCTCTCTGCAAACCCTCCTCCACCGCCAAAATGGTGGTGATGGGGGCACTAAGCAGGAAGTGAAAGGAAACCTGAAAGCTCCAGCCACCCACAACCCCCCCCCCCCCCCTGCTCTCCCAGGCTGCAGCGTGGCTCTGAGTCCTGGCTCCTGTCCAGGTTCTGGTGCTGTGATGGGGAGGGTCACGCTTTGACCCCGGGCCTGCATGTTGGATGTTGTTATTATTAGTGCTGCATGCCCCCCGGGCGGTGGTCCCCGATGCAGGAGGAACAGTGGGGCTCTGGAGAGGCTCTGGACCTGGAGAACAGCTGTGCGGGTTAGAGGCTGCCGGGGCCCCCAGGGTCCTCAGAGAGCACCGCTGCACCACCAGGAGCTTTGAGAGGCAGACCCACTGCAGACCCTCCTCTACTGCTGCACCAACACTGTCTAATGTACAGGGGAGCGTCGTCATGGAAGCTTGCAATATACATGCAATTAAATACACCATAATAATAATATCATCATCATAAGCATATATTTAAAATTAAAGATTTGCCATTTTAGCATGGTACAATCCCCATTGAAATATTTCTCGAACAAAATGACCATTTAGATAGCAATGAATGTTATACCTTGAAATTAAGAAGAAAACTTTCTCCCCAAAGAATCTCCACAGAATAAAAAAGAAAAGAAAAAAAAGGCGTGAGGTGAGTGGGGTACATGTTTCAAACAGTATTCAATAACAGAAAACTATCAACCAAAAAATAATAGGGGACGTTTTTCTAATCTCTACCCCTCTGGCTAGGAACAATGTAAAAAACAATTTTGAGCACTGTTGAAAATCAGTTAGCAGGATGGTTTTATGGCAATCTTAGAGTTGTTGTCCATAAATGTGATAAAGTACTTAGATTGGATTTGCCAAAGATAAACATCCTCTTGGTTTTCTTTAAATCCATCAACAATTATTACATCAATTATTAAGAAAATTAATATATCACGAGACACACTGACATTGTGTTTTCTACCTCTAACATCTGTCCCTTACGGCCAAGCTGACCCAACATTTGAAGCTTCCCAAGTGCTTATTGGCGTTTATTGGAGCCCTGTCTTTTGTAACAGGTGCTCCTGTCAGTGTGTGATCTCTCTGAATTCATAAATGTATTTTTGAATGTATCTATATTCTATATATTCTGCAGGACTCACACAGGCGGACGTGCTCTTTTATTCTCGTAAGCCAACCGTTTCTTTGTGAATGACTTGCGGGCGGCAAAGTGTATTTAAAAGCCCACCTTACCTCTCTACCATTTTAATTCTGCCTATTCTTGGCAGTTCTGGGGGGGGGGGGGGGAGGGGGCTTCTAACTGTGTAAATAGCTCTGGAAATTGCGTGTGGCCTTTGACTGTCTCTATAATTGCGAGACTCTTGCAGTATTTTGCTTGGCAGCCTGAGAGGTTAACCCCTGAGGGCTGGAGGCCTGGAGCTCTTCGTCTGACTGGCAGAGGGCTCCTCAAAGCGCCTCTTGTTCACCTCCCGGCCCGGGCAGCTCTAAGCCGCCGCTGATCCTCCTCTAGACGAGAGGTGGGAGTGGGAGGCTGCTGCATTCAGCCATGAGGCTCTGAGGGTGAAGCCTGGAGTGTCGCCGGGCCACACAGACGCACCCCGGGCTGCACCTGGGCAGCCAGCAGCACTCGTAGACTCGTCACCATCACTAAACGGGGATTTTAGCCGTAATCAGATTATATTGACGTTGCTGCAGTAAGTGGTTGATCAGTTTCCTCACAAACCCTTTTTACCATATTCCCATGAAACTGTAAATGTTCCTGTAGTTAATGGTGTGCAGATGGATGCACTTAGTTTGGTTATATTGAATCAGTGTTTGATGCAATTGCGCACTTAAATGTCAATTTAGCAATTTACACAATGTATCACTGTTCATTTACAAAAATGCTCATTACAAAGCCACCAAATGCACTTGGCAGCGCTGAAAAATTATGAAAAGAGAGTCCAAAAACAATGTTGTGTTAAATTGTTATGATCACAATTCTGCACATTCATCCTGTCGTTTGAAGGGTTTTACATCCACTGTTGATTTTGAACGTCTCCATGTCAGAAGAATTTAGGGGTCAAGTTGAGGACTTGTGCGGAAGGCAGTGTCGAACCAGCCTGCAGTGATGGATGATGTTGCTGTATGAAATGGTCTGTAAAGATGCAGCCTCTTTTTGGACTCGCAGCAGAAACTGTGGAGAAAAGACAACATGTGCAGCTTCCTCTTTGGGTTCCCACATTGTTCTCGCCAGCTCTGCTCCCTCTGGGCCTGGAGAACGACTCTGTACACCCTAGACAAAAGTACACAGACAGAAAAGAAATATCAAGGCACAAAAGCTCTTTTATGTAATGCTGTCAAGTTGCATTGATTCCCCCCCCCCCGTATATTTGACAGACAACATAAAATCGTTGCTTCGCGTCATGTCAAGCTGGGCCTCGGAGATCGCATCGGCTCTGCCAGTATCACTCAATTCTTTGGTAGAAGTCTTTCTTGGACTCCACATCCTCTGACTGTGAGTAATTCATTTGTGTGAACTCTGAGCACGTTTGTTACCCTTTACACAGCGACACAAAAACAAACCGTTGTACAGAAAGTCAACCCGAGTTAGTTTTGTGACTAAACTTTGCAGAGGGTGGAGGAGAGAATCCGAGGTCCGGTCTGTTTCATCAGTGGAGCGGTGGATGGATGGATTCAAGGACTGCAGCAGGAGCGGGGTGCTGGTGTGTCTCTGGGTTTTTCGTGGAGAATCAGCAGCTGTGTAATCAGACCTGGCTCTGACCCCACCTGTCCGGATGTTCCTCCACACCCTCCATCATGTCCATGTGTCACGCACACGCTGATGAACCGCTGGTCGCGTGCAACCTCTGAGCTGGCTCGACCTGCAGGCTGATTTAGTGACGATACGCCAGTACTGTAGGAACCACTACATCAGTGCATTATTCATTCCTTCTATCAGGGCATTATTTAACCTCCTACTGATTTATTGTTGAGCTGTGGCTGTGCCATTACCGGAGAGATAACAACGACATCAATAGAACTTCAGTACACTTAAGGGGTTTAGAATATATCTGCTTTTACCCCTTTACATTACAAAGGGAACAATTGTACTTTATTGTATGCATTTCCGAGCAGCTATACTAGTTCCTTCACTTTGTAGACTCAGATGTCCGATACAAATGCATAGTTATTGATGGAAACATCCAGCAAAGTAGTAAAAATAAGCCTCGTCTGGACCAATAACACAACCTCAATGCTCATGAATGCATCAATGAGTATTAAACACAATACAAGCATACAAAGCTGAGAGCAATATCTAAATATACGGAGGTTTGCAGTATTATTAACTGGTTTTCTGTGAGGATATTCAAAATATACTCCTGGTTGTTTCCAGTTACTGCAAGTTTTACATGGATTGTACATTTCTGTGACTATCACTTCTATGCTTTTTTGTGTATGTTAAACAGATGCCAAATAACCAATTCCAATCTTAACCCTTGTCTTTAACCTATAAATGTAGGGTTTTTCATTTGACCCAATGGTGTTTTAGTTTGACATACAGCTGTGTCTTTTAATTGCTTGCTGGATTCGCCAACTGTTGGGTATAATTTCTTATTTTTGTGTCATCTTTGACAGGACTTGTCATTACACGGAAGCAAAGGTCTCTAATATATCGTCATTGAAATCACTTTCACTTCAGTATTCTCCCATTGTTATATTGCTACTCTTACTTAAGTGACGGATCAGAGCAGGCTTACATCTCCCCCCCCCTGCTGTCTGAACAAGAACCGCATTATCTGCTGACATTGTTAATCTGGCGGTGGAGTTGAATGTGCCACAATAGATGAAGCAGCCAGTGTCAGCGGCGATGCTCCGAGGTCCCTGTTGAGAACACTAAGCTCTGTATTTGCTCTCCTCTTGCGGAGGATAACAGCCTCTCCAGCCCAGGTTAGGAGAGGGGCTCCCTGCAGCTGCTGTCTCTGAGTCTGATTAGTGCGGTGATGAGCGAATGAGGGCCAGGGGAGCCGCGTACACACACACCGTACACACACTCCGAAAGGGTTAAGCAGCCGGTTAGGGAGGAGACCTGCTCTGTGTCCAGGATGTCGAGTGCTGCGGCGCGATGGTGTGCTGTTACACTGCATGAGGCCTCGGCTCCACTTGGGTTCTGATTGGGCCTGTAAGATCACAGCCTCCCCCCCCCCCTTCCCCCCTCCTCCCTGAGGGTTTCTCTCTCCACATCCTCCCCGCTGATTATCACCAGTGCCAGAGCTGACTCTTGCACTCCAGCTGCTGTCCACACTCTGGCTCTGGGGCTAATTTAACCAGGCTGCATGGAGGGAGAAAACTTTCTCACACAGCCTGAAGAAGCTGCCGCACAGTGACGCTCCTCCGAGGCTTCAGCTTGTTGCTGCCGCTCCTCACTACAAAAAGAGCCGCTCCGCTTCATGTAGCTCCGCCAGGCTTTCCCCAGTGGCGCGCTTAAACAATATCCAGAGCTACAAGTGATCATAACAAGGTCACAGGCCTCTTCACTCAGGAATATTTCATCAGTGCAGAGGAGACAGAGGAGGTTCCCTTGCAGATCCACATGTGTTGCTCTCTGCAGGTGTTTCCTCTGAGCAGAGTCAGGGCAGAGTGCTGCCTTCACCGTCCAAAGGGTGAAGCTCAACTGTCGCTTTCAATGTGAAACTCAACCCTTAAGCTTTTAATATACGACACACGCATAATATCTCATAACTACTGTATATCAAAGCATTGTTAGCTTCCATCACAATCCAGCAGTGAGTTGAATGACACTGAGGCTGGAAAGCGAGTTTGAGTTTTCCCTGTGAACTGCTATTTTTGAATTTGGGTTTTTCAGGTTGTTGTTATTTGATAAAAGCAAATGCTGAATAATTCACACAAACATTGTCATAAGAAGGAGCTGTGAAAACCATCTATTTGACTTTGTGAGGCTGCGAGGGAGGAAAACATAGTAATTGACCAGTTGAAGAAGTGACTTTGGAGCAGGGCTGAAGAGGTGGATCTGTAAGAAGAGAGGAATCAAGTGTCGTCTACAGATTTACATTTGAAATGTAGCTCGCAGGAAATGTATTGAAACAGCCATGACAAATCCAAAATGAATATCTTAAATACAGATGTATACCCTTAAAGGTCCCCTATTATGCAAAATGCACTTTTTGCTGTCTTTTATACATAAATATGTGTTCCCGCCCGGTGTGTCAGGAGACTCACAAAGTGTCCGAAAATACAACCCTTTCTCTTTTCCTCCTTACCCAAATCGGAAAAAACGGGGGGAACAACGGAGCCGATCCAGATTTGCTGCAGTCATGCCGACATTACGGAAATGTGGGCTGGCTTTACACCAGAAGGTCGATGTATCAGAAACAATGCGTGACGTGTTTTGGAAGTAATATGGTCTGTGTTTACATTAGCAAGCATCGCTAACACTCAGAGCTAACGCTGTACTGGAGAGAGTATGTTTAAAAAAGCAGGATATAAAAAGGTACTCACCTTGTGGTAAACCTGTGAGAGAAAAAGCATTTGAGCCCCATATTGTTTCAGAAATGATCCTTGATGTGGTTTGGAACATAATATGGCGTTTAAACACGGCAGCGTTTAGCTGAGTATCTGGGTAGAATTCTCCTCTCTTTTTTTGTTGTTCTTTTTAAAGCTACGGACCCAGAATCAGCACTTCTCTAACAGGCTGAAATAGAGGGGGGTGAGGCATGGCTAGAATTTAGTATTTTGAGCAAAACACTTCATAGACATGTTTTTTTTAAATATCTGAGACCTATAATATATGCCTACAAATAGTATAATAGGAGACCTTTAAAACACTGTTTACAAAATAAGATGAACATGTGTGTTTAATTCTGTGTGGCAGATGACATTTCAATCTGTATGCAGCATGTAAACATGAGGTGTATCTGCCCTGGAAACAATCCATCGACCACTTGGACTGGTGCCAGTGTCTCCCAGAGTAAACCCTTGTCTTACTTGTGAGTGTTGATGGGGGGGGGGGGGTCCGCTGTCAGCCTGCGGGGCTCCGGTGTCTCTCTGCCGGGCTGTCCTGGGTCGCACGATTAGGCTGGAGAGGGCAAGGCGCTTCCCCACAATCCCACCCCCCCCCTGTACTAACCCATGTTAAATGGAAGCATTGTGACTGCAGACCTGCTCTCATCTTCATGTACACTTTCTTTTTTTCTCCCTCTCCCAGTACATAATGACCCCAGACTATGTGACGACAGGCATTGTATCCGACTGGGCCGACCACAGAGAAATTAAAGATGAGGGTCTGATTCAGAGGCAGCTGCAGGTCTTTTTCTGCCGTACAGTGTCCAGCGGTGTTTAAGGTGTGTGGGTGTACTTATATGCATCTATTTTTTGGCTTTAATGTTGAATTAATTTACGTTTGTGATTGTGTGTGTTGTTGCAAACATCGAGCCAGGTGGTAACAATTGATTGCCCGGAGCAAGAATTCAATTATGGCATTAGACCTGTAATCTGATGCATTCATGCCTTCACATGTAGACTGTGCAAACTGTTGTTAATATACACCTATAGCATTAATCCCTGTTATTTACTAGATTTAGGAGGTGCAGCAGTTTCACGTGACGGAGTTTCAATGTTGAATGCGTTCAAGGTTTGAATATATTTTCTGAAAAGGTAATCGCACACATTACACATGCTTACATTAAATACACTGTCGATTGATATTGTTCAGAAAGAAAACCACACTTTTTTCTTTTTCAGAAATGTCCCTCCATCAGACTTTACAGCGAACAATGCGGTCACACTACACCTGACAGGTATTTAATCTCTTGTAGACATTTTATCTGGGAATTCACCTCTCTTACAATTATGAAGTGCAATTTAGAAATCAAAGCCAGGAGCAGTGTTCACTTGCAGAGGAGTTCTGGGGAGATCCCCTTTTCCCCCTGATTTAACTAGAACCCACACACAGTGAACACACAACCTTATGTGCACAAGATAAGTCCAGAAACATACAGAAGATGATTTATTTTAAATATCATCACTGTGTCATGATGGAAAATAATACATAATAACGGACAGAGGCCAGTTTACATGGGTTTGCATTACAGAAGTAGTATGATGTTTTCAATATTTATTGTTATAAGATAGTCTTGACATCTTTAGTGTGGTTGTAAAAGTACCGTAAATAATGTTGTTAAACGGTTATTTATATTTGGGTAAATGATAAACACATTTTGCAGCTGCTGTATAAATGAATGAATTCAACACTTTGTACCAGCTTCAGTGTTTTCTCTGCAGAGTCAAACTGACCACAGAGATAGCATCATAGGTCTCAGGAGGCAATTAAAAAGAAATTAACTCCAATTTTGTGTTGTCTGCAATTTTTCCGTGTTTATTTTTGAGGTTTCTTGGAAACTCCCACCTTTTTAATTACACCAAATGCTTATTTTAGACCCTTTGCCAGTTTCCACTGGACTGCAAAATGGTGTAGATGCTATCAACAGTGATGTCAGTGTGGCTATGTCTGCTTCATGCACACACACACACACACACACACACACACACACACACACACACACACACACACACACACACACACACACTGATCTGGTGCATGTATAAATAATTCACATAAGGTCAAACTTTGATCTGCTGATACAGCCTCTCAGATTGCCAGTAGTGGCAGGAAAACCAGTAGATTGAAAACGAGGAATGCGTCAAGGGGTGTGCTGTTTACTTGTAGCGCGGGCAGCTGGTTAGCCACCCCTCTGCCGTTTACACCCCCCTCCCTCGCTTTTCAATTCCAGCCAGACCCCAGGCTCGGCCACTAACTGGGGGCTGGAATATTGTGCACTGGGGATCAATGCGGCCCTGAGTGAAATGTCACCGCGGCCCTGCGATGTGTCAGGCTGTGAGGGAGTAGTAATGGCTATTGATCCACTGAGCGCTTAATGCAGAGCTGCCCCGCCACCACGCCAGCCAGCTGCAGCAGAAAGATATATGTATGAGATGAGCTAAAACTGAGAAAATAGAAAAGAAAGAGCCCACAGTTGTGTCCCCCTCCTCACATCCCCCCCTCTCTGGCTGCAGATTGATCTTCCTCTTCCTGCTGATTCTAACTGGGGTCTGTCATTATCTTACTCTGTCATTAGGGGCTCCATTGACAGCCTTGGCCTGTCTGTGTCACTCTATTGAGACAGCAACACTTTTCCCATGCAGTGTTCCCTACATTTATTAAAATCTCTGACAGCCTTGTCTTGGCTCTCTCCATAGATGGCTGAGCTTCAGGCAGCGGTGCAGCGGTGTAATTGGAAGACGAGGCGCTCCGTTCCTGGCTAGTAATATCAGTGAGGTACGGGTCAGACTGGTTTATATCAGACCGCTGGCGATGAAGAACCAAATCAGACCACCTCGGCCTGAGGGTCAGTGTGTGTGCATCAGTAGTCACCCTACATTTATGCCTATATATGTGAAGCACGTTTGTAAGATCAGGAGTTTTCCTGCTGTCACTGTCGGTGATATCTGTGAGGTAAGGGACTGTGTGTAAATTCTAGGATTTGCACTGAAAATGTAATGGAGATAAATGAAGGACCCTATGACAATTTTTTGTATCAACCCAAGGTCCATTTTGCCAAATAAGAACAAGTGTGTCTCTGAATTGGAGATTTATTGTCCTGATCAAAATCAAATAAAAGCCAAATATACGTTGATCTTCATTATCAGTGATTGAACACTACCTTGACTTTTTTTTTTTGCATCTTGTGTAAGTGTAGCAAGTATTCTAGTTTTAAAAAATGTACTAAGACCAACATTTTCTTTCAATAAACAAACTAACAAAACATACAAACATTGTACCTTCAAAGTAATTGACCGTACAGACTCCAGCCCAAACACGCAAACTATAACATTATAAAACTAACATTTTAAAATAGCAGTATTATTTGAACTGGCTCTCAGAGTTTCAGCAGTTATAACTCCATGTATACATATTATTGTCCTTTACCTTGAGTTAGTAGTTATAGTAGTTTAAATGCTGCCTCCTATTTCTTTGGAAATGGGGCCAGGCACTGCATAATTCTACAGTTGGTTGTTCAGTTTTAACGGAAAGGTTTTTCAAGGTTTCAGCATGCCAGAGCTTGCTAAATGTTCTTATCACATAGTAGTTGTTAATTAAATTTATTATAAAATAAAATACTTTCCTCTGATGGCCTTTGAATTTGTATAACATAAAACTTGTTATCTATAGACCACTTACATGTGAAGATTAGGTCATGTGACTTTATATAGTTAGGGTTTCACAGGACCACAACAACTTTGTATTTGAATGCCGTGTTTTTGCATTATGATAACAAACGCATGCTTCACAAATAAAAGGACTCAACAAAAATGATTGAGTGGTGAGGGAAGCTTAAAATGATGTGTCATAGTTAAACTGTTCTTAAAGTGCTTTTGACATTTTTTGTTTTTTATCCCAACATTAGATCAACTGAAAGCTTTTAGCTGTTGTTCAAGGTGATATCAGATGATATTGTTGCCTGATATTCATGAGAAAATAAATGAAATATTAAGCTGTGTTGAGAAAACTCTTAAAACCCTCTTTACTTTCTTTAAAAAAAAGTGAAATGTCTCTGACTATAACAAAAGGGCAAACCACATTACCCTCTCTCCCCCTAATCATTTTCATACAGTCCCTTACCACTGTCACGCTAAATAAACCTGTTTGTAATAATAAATGTGTGTTCAAATATCACAACAGCTGCTGCAACTCAAATAATACAATTTAAGGAGCCAATTTGTGTCTAAGTGACCAAATAGTAAAAACATGACGGCAGATTTAAAAGTGAAAGTAAGAAGAAACCCAAACAGTTTTATTCTGGCAGTCTTTACATAACCTAGATTTCTGATCATGTGATTATTGTTTTGTTGAATTCTCCGCGCCGGGACTATTACTGTAGAGACTTGACAACTTGAAAACATTTCTGGAGGCTGTCAGGAAGTGCACAGTGGGGTGCAGTGAATTGAGATTGGTGGGTTTGTGGGTACGTGTGTGTGTGTTTGTGTGCTACACAAAAGCAATGCTGAGTATAGGCTGGTGTTGGGCCCAAGCTGCTTCCCCGTGTTACAGGAGCCACAATCAGGTAGGACCGGGGGGTCTCTGGCTGTCTTGGCCTCCGTAACACACGAGGCTGCTCAATGGGACGGAAGTTATTGGAGGGTTGGGCTGAGACAGATGACATGGTGTGTGACAGAGACTCATCATTTGAGTGTGATACAAGTATTTGAGCTGCAAGGCTGTAATGTCGCTCGGCTTGTCTGGAAAGATTTATTCCAGATTGCAGGGCCTGAGGGGTCAGCGGCCGTACATGTGGGAGGTTTCTCTGGGGGGGGGGGGAAATGCACTTTAGGGGGAAGAGGTGGTGGGCATAATGAGAGAACATGTAAGAGGAAAACAATTAGTCTATCTAACTATTATATCTAGTGCTGAACGTAAAGCTGTTACAAGACGTGGTGATGAGTTAATTTAGTATTTGCATTCATGCAGATGTATATTTTGCACACTTCCTACAAAACAATGATTTCTTTCTCAACAAACTTGAATTTACAGCCTCACTTCTATCTGACAGAAAGGTTATTTTCCATCGAAGGAGAGGAAATGTTTAATCCAATACCCACTGTGAAAGAAAAAAGTAATGCATATCTCACTTTCTCGCCTGTCTCCCGTCCAGATGAAATTGAAATTTTAATGCATTTCAGAGTTTTCCCCCCGAATGGAGAAGCTGATAGACACAGGGATGTCATATTTACAGTATGAACACCCATGGTTTAATGCACTCTACAATACTGCCATCTCCAAGTTCTCCTGAACAAAACATGCTCTTGAACATAAAGGGAAGGCGAAGAAGAAAATTATTCCTCAAGCTTTCTATCAAGCTTCTGCATTCATGGCAAAGCCTAAAGGGCATGTCAGTTCTCTGCCTCTGAGAGAGGTAATTATCCTTTTCCTGTCAGAGAACAACAAATGATAGCCAACTATGGGGGTGCATTTTCAGGAGCTGAAATTTGGCAATTGGAAGGAGAAGGAGGTTTAATTTTCTGGCAGCTGCATATCTACTTTTATCATGCTTTTTCAATGGTCATTTGTTGCATGTTCTTTTCTATTCACATGGGCTCTCAGGGTAGTGCTGCGAGCTGCTGAGGGTGTGTTTATCTGCCCTGCATTAACATACCTATTTATAGTCCTACACTTTCTTACAGTCATCTTTTTTTTCTTCTGTTGTGACCATTTCACAGATTATATATTGTCCAAGTAATTTCCCTTTCAGCTTCTGTGTTTTTTACCTTTCAGAGAAAGCAGTGAATGGAGGGGAAATTATCACAATTACTCATATAATTGAGCCGTCTTTGTAGCAAGTGCAGCTTCAGTAGCCCTTTTTTTCCATCAGCCAAAATGGTTTCATTATATGGGTTTTTCATATTCCCTGACACAGGGCTCCGCTGAGGGCCTGGCGCGTGGATGAGATGCAGGATGAACAGAGCGAATCATTAAGGTCACAGTAGGAATAATTATCCCAGCTATGGAAAGAGCATCTACAGCCTTTTTTTCTCCCCCGGCACAAATGCAGTGTCCACGGTTTTGTTACGAACAGAGCTTCCACCTTCTACTTATACAAAGAAGAGAGGGGGAGAGCAAGACTTGTATCAACATGACAATTTTCCATCATTAAGACTAATGACAGGCACAGACCGTGGGGATCAAGGGGAGCACAAAAAAGAGAGGCGCATTCAGGTGTTGGCTGAGTGCTGACCTCCTTCCTGTCTTTGTTGGAGACTTAACTCTTAACAAATCTAAAAAGGGGTTTCAGACTAAAGGCTCAGTGGCAGCTGAACGTCAAGCAGCACGGCTCTCCATGGGCAAATGACTTAATTGGCGAATTTGCATGTTTTCCATTTGCAGGGAAATTAATTCAATAAGACCTACATGTAAAGATGTTTAATCAATCATTGTTTTGATGTTGGTGAAATAATATCCAACCTTATAGCTGTATGGATTCTACTCCGATGCAATTCACTCACATCGACTACATTTTGATCATCCTTAAAATTGATTTTCTTATTAGTTTAGGATTTTGATGCCAAGATCTTCACTTAACAAGGGATACTGTAACATGTAACAAGTATGAGATGTCAATGTGACACTAGTTTCTTTGACAGTTTAGCTGAATTAAGTAAAAGCCATATTTGTCCAAGTTCTTTCTCCACAGCCTTCACTCAGGTAATTGGTCATTTTGCAGCCAATTTGGGGCAGGTTGGATGCTTGCTGCCATGGCCTGACCCCTGCTGCTGCTGTAATGGGGGACAGCGTTTCTGCCAGTTCGCTGGGGGCTTTTCCACACTGTGATCTCCAGCTTTCTGAGTACAGAGCTGTTTTGAACCCTGAAAGAGGAAAAAAAAACGAGTTCAAATATGACTTCTTTAGTTCTATTGCACACATGTTGATTATAGAGGCTGCTTTTCAAGTTTTGGCTCTGAGAGTTTTCATTCGCTGGGAATAAAAGAGTCATTGAAGTTTAAAAATGAGCCATTTATTACCGACGTCTGTAAAGAAAAGGCAGGAAATATTGTTTCGAAGTTAATGGAACATGTATTTGCCATTAATTTATTTCTATTATCAGCAGGAGCAAGACCCAGTGATGCTGTCAGCCACCCGCTGAACAACAGGTCCAGTTTGGAGAGCAGCGGTCGGTCAGTACGTCCTGACCCGGTGTGAAGCAGACCCCTCGCAGTCATCAGGGCCTTTAAAAGACACAAAGAAATCCTTATTTTCCTTCTAACTATTCTAAAAAAATTACAACTTTATTTTATTTTTTATTTGCTGTAGGAAACATTTTATTCTACTGTCAATACAGGAAATACGTCTACGTTTTAGTGTGTAAAGGCATAATATGGTCCAAAAATATACAATATTTCCCCCCACGACAGCAACATTTGAAACTGGAGTATGACTCAAATTGACTGGTATTAAATTAATTTAAAGTTATTGATAATTGTTGATTGTAATACTTTATTAGTATCAAATGAAAAGCACAAATGTTTTAATTGAAAAGGCAAATTACATAGATCTTTAATTATGAACACATTATTTATTTGGCCCTGAATACAAAACCCCATCCATCACTTCATTTAATTTCAGAAACCAAAGTGTGAACTTACTTGAAGGTCATAAAATGAAGTATTAGAATCTGATTCTCACACAAGTTAACGTAGCCAATAACACATTTAATTATAGTGAGACAGTACATGAAGTTTTAAATGTTTAAAATGAAATGTATTCCTCTGTATTTTCTGAATACAAAATAAAATTGTCACATAATCTCATTTCCTCATGTGTCCCTCCTGGCTCTTATGATAATGAAATCAGCTAACCGATATCACCCTCTTGTTTATCAGATATTATGATTAATTTTTTGTTTAGGTGTAGCCCAGTAAACAGAATCAATTCACATTTTGATGCCACATTGAACATGAAAATAGACACTGAATCGAGTTAATTGTAGTGCATCTAGTGTGCGTTCATTGACGATGCTGCAAATTACAGGATGGCGCTGAGCAGACAGAGAGAGGAAGCAGAACAAAAGGCAATTTCACTTGTTTGATCCACTGCCTTAAACACGTGAAATAAAACCTCCATATAGTGGGACCTTTCTGCTGGAAGTCACTCACAGAAATACATTTGCATTTGTAGCTGAGGTCATGTGGACATCTATGATGCATGTCCATAATGGGCAGTTTCAGATATGAGGAGATACTGTGTTATGTACAAAAATAAACTCATGGGAACAATTTACTTTTTGTTATGAATAAGTATTTTTGACATGGATATTTTTGCATCATGATGTTGAGTGCATGGATCTAAGAGATTGTGTTTATTTGTTTAAGAAGGGACAATGCAAATCAATTAACATGAGCACTTAATCCATCGTGTAAATATGCCAGATTTAGAGGATAATTTTCATCTGCAGTCTCTGGCAGGATGATCACATTAAAGAAAACATATAGCACAGAAAAACACAAACGCACTATGTCATCACATAAGCACAGGTAAACGCACATGAGAAGGATTATAATCCATATATAAATTGAGGAAAACTATTGAAATTTTAAATTGGATTTTCTCTATATTTGCAGACAAACGAAAATCCCCATTAAAAACCTAAAACGAATCAGGTAAATCATTCAAATACAAAATATAAACCTGATTATTGTCTCCATAAAAAAAGGAAATAATGCACTTTCAAAGGCAATAATTAATCAGTGTTCCCATGCAGAGTGTGCAGGGTGCTGCCTTCACACAGCATGGACTCTCAGTTTACCAATGCACCGCGGTCGGGGTAATATTTGGTGGCTGTGAAAATATGGGTTGGCATGGCAGTTTGAGGAGGGCTTTCGATCAGCGGCCTGAAATGAAGTCTGTGACATCTTGGCCCGTTTACCCCCCCCACCTCCCCCTCTCTCTCCACCTCTGCACTAACCCTCAGGTGAAGAGCAGCAGGTGTTAAAACACCCTCAGCCACAGAGCTACTCACTCCTAATGAGTCCTGCCTCCGCGCTCCATCCATGCATGGAGGACTTTATTTTTAGTGTGGCTAGTTAGAGCCCTGCTGCCAGTCTGCAGGACGGACTGTGGCCTGCCAGCAGAGCCACATTAGAAATTAAAGTGGGAATATCATCACATGCAAAATCATCCTAATGACACCGATGAAAGAAAATCCCTTGAATAAATAATCCGTTTTGGTTGCAAGCAAATACACACTTTGTAAATGATTGATTTTGCATTTTTCAATAAATTGAATAATGCAGCATTTATTTGGTGGTTCTTCTCAGCCCTAAATTACATTTACTTCAACAAACAGCCTGCTATTATTATTGCTATTATTAGTAGTGTACTCGTGGTGTTATTTTACATTTTTCTGCAAATTCTGCCTCTATTCTGTTAATGGTTGTGCTCACAGCCGCGTGTCAATTTGCAGATACTATAATCGTGGGAAAATAATGACAGTTATCAGTCGCACCCACCAAGTACCCATAAAAATCTGTCCTCTGTTCTGGAAGATGATAATTATTGGTTGTACTACCATTATCATTGTCGTTGTTGATAGAGGAAGTCTTGAAGCATTTCTCGAAAGTAATTCCAGAGAAATCACTTCAAATTGGCCTATTTTAGGGGGACAAGGGACCAGCTTTCGTTATAGCCTAATATTGCACAGAAATCTTTAAATCCGCAGCCGGCTGGCACACTGCAGCACGTGCCGTGATGTCAGCGCCTGCATTTTGATAACACATTTTGCAACTTGCTAGTTCTGTTTTGAGTTAATTATGCAATTACACTGATAATCACAGTGACGGAATTTAACTGCCTTTAATTTGTTATTCAGGTGGAGATGGAGGGGATGGAGCAGCCAGGCTGTGTTTCTGCTCTCAGACACCAGATCAGGAGCAGCAGCCTGCATATGGATCCCGATAAAATGAAGACTTGCTGCAGGATACTTTCTTCTTCCACCAAGTGCGTAATGCGGAGGCTCTCTGACCCGCGGATTTATCTGCTCCTTTCCCATCACTTGATTTACAAAGTAAGTTGCGTTTAGCTGCTGATTAAGATCTTTTTTCTTTTTGGTTAAACTATACTTACAGCTGCATTGATCCTGTCTGAGCTTTTGAGTTGTGGAGGTCTAAACCTGCAGCTCAAGGAAGAAAAAAAAAAAAGTCTCTTATGTTAAGTCAGTCGTCAGTTCAATTAAATCAAATGTCCGTGGATAATTATTCTTGTTAGGCTGTGGGAGGCTGGCCGCACCCCCACCCCCCCGTAGAGTCATGCTAATCAAGGGTGCCAGTGTTCAACAAAAGTGTGACCATTAATTGATTGCGATAGACGCTGCGTAAAGTCGTTTGGAAAGCATTTAAATGTGATAAGAAAATAGGCCCATAAATTCATGACTGTGTTAGAAAACAGTGAATAGTTCAGCGGGAAGCAAGAAAATATAACCAACAATTTCAAACGATTAATATTGTTGTGAAATAATTCATTAAAAAACACATTGGGTTGTACAATTCAGACATTGTTGTTTGAGCCTATATATTTGTATTTGTTTTTGTTTGCAGGCTGTATGTTTCCAGGTGTCTTAAAGCATCGTTACTTCTGTATACCTGACACAAAAACCTAATCAGGACTGTTCGACTGTCCCATCAGCTGCCAGGTGTAACTGAGACCTCAAGCCACGTAAGTGTTAAATACATGACTAATTACAGACCTACTTATGAAAATTGAACACTAGTGTTATGCTAATACGAGATAGAGCTTTAATCAAACAAGCTTTAATGAAACTAGCCAACAGAAAGAGCTGCTTTAACGAGGCTGGGATTATTATTTAACTATAATAAATTACGTTTTTTGTGACAACCGGCATTTAAAATACAATGTGACAAACCTGATTGTACTGCTTGCACCGATATAGATCACAGTATTTTATTACATTTAAAAAAAATGTTAGCTAATTCTGGGAAAGAAATGGATCAGGAGTCTCGTATGCAATATTACCTAAACGTGGTGCCTGATAATAATATTAAAATTGATATAAATAATTAGTGATGATAATATAAAAATAGTGCATCTTGACATGTCATGATGAAATCTTAGGTTTTGTGGTTTTTCTTTGACTTTCTCAGGTTCCTCGGACCCAGCCCAGCGTCGCCAATCGGCTTCCCTCTTGGAGAGAGTGGACCAATCAGCGACAGTCTTTGATGAATATTCATGAGTCCGAGATTCAAACCTTTGAGCGAGTTTGTCTTGGTCCACAGCATCATACCTAGGACTTTTCACAGGCACAAACTACATTTTCTTATGAATGGAAAGAGAAAAAATCAGTTCGGCTTAAATTGGGACCCATCCTTCACTGAGACCATAGAAGGAAAACAACAAAAGCGAGACAAGGGGAGCCGCCAGAAGAGATGACAATGACTACAATTCCAGAAAGTCTCAGCCCTGCCTCAGGAAAAACCGTTTTCATGGAGTTTGGACCCCCGAGTCAACAAATGTCGCCTTCCTCCATGTCTCACGGACACTATCCAATGCACTGTTTACATTCTGCAGGTCATACCCAGCACGACAGCTACAGTCCAGCCTCGTCCTTCCCCAGATCTTTGGGTTATCCATACGTAAACTCCGTCGGCAGCCATTCCACCAGTCCATATCTCAGCACAGTACAGACCTACCAAAACAGCTCGGCGCTCACACAGACGCGGTTAGAGGAGACAGGTAAGTGAGCAGCAGCATGTTTGGATCTTCAATATGAACTTTCTGTGTTGGCACGGCTTGAATCTGTATGCAGCATCGAAAAAACACGAGCCAGATGTTGGAATTAGGCTTGGTAATTATTTATTGCGTAACGCTATAAACAATGTATGCAATTAAGGGTAATTATACCTAAAGTACAGCCTGTAAAACTTGTGCTGGAGTATTGGTCGCTGTGCAGTATTGTTGGCCACAACTGCAGCTCATTTGTTTCCCTCTGCTTGCTCTTTTCTTTTTCTCAGCGCCAGAAACGGAGAAAAACACTGTGGTGGAGGGCGGAGAGGTTCGATTCAACGGGAAAGGAAAAAAGATCAGAAAACCAAGGACTATCTATTCCAGTTTACAGCTTCAATCTCTGAACAGAAGATTTCAACAAACTCAGTATTTGGCGTTACCGGAGAGAGCAGAGCTGGCAGCGACGATGGGTCTCACTCAGACACAGGCAAGTCCAGGAAACACACCCACAAGAAGAGTTTGTTCACCTCTTAAATGCAATTTATTTATTTACAACATGCATTTTTATATTTCATAATTTTTTAATTAAAATTACAGAAGCATTTTTTAATTTTTTATTGAAATTACAATGAATACAATTCATCTGGACATCATTTACATAACATAATATTCAATGATTGACACCAAATCAAACGTGTTTTTATGTATATTAATTAACCGTGATTCATGTGTTATAATATATAAATGACATTAATACAGTAAACATAATAAATATATTAATTATTATTTTCTCATTAATTAAATACATCTGCTTCGTGCGTAAAACGTGCGTAATTCTTTCAAAACTGTTGATACGATAATTCACTAATAATAGTTTTTCGTCCCTCCAGGTGAAGATTTGGTTTCAAAATAAACGCTCTAAATTTAAGAAACTGATGAAGCAGGGCGGGGGTACCATCGACCCCAGCGTGCTGTTGGCCACCGGCCGTGGAGTGTCCACCGGCTCTCCCACGGTGGCGCCGGTGTGGAGCTCACCGACCACCGTGAAGTCTTCGGTGGGAACAACCGGATATATTCCCAGCTACACCTCATGGTATCCAACCACACACCAAGAGTCTATGCAACAGTCACAGCTCATGTGAACGGTCAGCCCTCCACTCTGCCATGTCTCGTGGATCAGGATGAGGAAGGGGCTTCAGCGCGGCCTAGCACTGGTTACACAAACAACAACAACCCCGGAGTTTGCTGCCGCCAGCTGACACACAGGCCTCCTCATACCGGATGAGAGGAAGAGCTGAGAGACTGCAAAGACACGCAATGCGCCCGAGGGCAACACGTCTGTGACAGTCACCGGAAATCGTGGACAGATTGATCCTTTTTTTTTTGGGCTGCTGTTTATCCCTTTTGTGTCCGTTTTTACCCTTTGAAAAAAAAAAAAAATCTTTTTTGTGTGAGTTAACGAGAAAACAGGTGTTTGTTTCAACCAGATGTTGGGCCCAAAGTGATGATGGGAATGAATTTATAAACAGCTAAAGGTCTATTAGGCCAAAGCAGCTCTTCTTTAACCAAATAATGATAATTCATTTTTCCACCATTACCGTTTTGCTTATAGGCTAGCACAGAGGGCATATTGTGCAAAGCCTTAAATCGCTACTTTGTTGTTTATATGTGTTTGTTATTTAAGTTAAATTATTCAGACACGTTTTGAGGTCTGTTGAGGTCAGTCTGTGTTCATTTTGTAAGTGTGTTTTGAAATGACAACAGTGTGTTGTTAATGCTGCACTAACAGCAAAGCTTTTCTATGCCGTGCCCCGATGTTATGTGAAAAATGTAAAAGGCCTGACAATTTGCTGCTTTAGAAAAAAAATATCTTGAAGGTGAGCAGCTCATTTGTCCCTGTATTTTGTACATTTATTATTTTCAGATTCGTTTTCGTGCTGTACTGGATACGCTGTGAAACAGGGTTTTAGGCTTTCTGTATTCGTCGAGATGTGTTTAGTCAACATAGAAAATATTTAGTTTTGTATTGATCACTTTAATTTATTTCTTTTTTTCTGAAGTTTATGTACACACTGTGCAAAGTTTTAAAAAGCAGTAAAATAATGATTTAAATGATGTCAAGAAAGGTGTCTGATTCCTACCCCCCCTCCTCCTCCTCCTCCTCCTCCCTCTTCAACATGGTGCAGGTTTAATGTGAGCCGACACAAAGCAGTATCATGTTGGTTATTGTAGCAGACCCCGTGTGAGAGCTGCAAAAGGCTTTAGATTCATGGTTGTCTTAGCATTTAGCTACATGGGTCCCTTCTGCTGCAGATGTTGTCAAACCTCTGGAGGGAATTAAGAAATACAAATAAGACTTTGCATCTAAAAAAACAAGTTTGAATCTGAATGAATCAAAACGAAAATATATTAACTGTTGCATTTTATATATTACATGGAAAATACAAAAAAAGCTACAAAATAGAAATGCAGGAACCACTGAAGCCTGCCGATATAAACTGCATCATTTCGGGATTTAACCGTCGCGATGCGGGAGAGCTGGATTCATTCAACAACATCGCTTGTTTCTTTTCAGCTTTTCTTAAAGATAATCTTCTTTCTATTTGTCTTCCGACAATCCCCATTTTAGGCCATGAATGGAAGAGACCAATTGTGTGTGTTAAGTGAATAATCGCCCAAGAGGCAGGTGCTGCAAAAAGACTGGATGAGCCCTGGCGGATCACATGGAGATCAGAGAAAGTGAAAAGTTCAAAGGCCTTCTTGTTTGGCCTTCACGTTGTATTCAAGGACTCTATTAAGCAAACTCACACTAAGCCTTTTCTATTAAAAGAAAATCTAATAAAAATCGTAAATATTTAGTTAAAATGCTGGGCTAGTTTGGTTAAATATTGCATTTTTTTTTAATGCTAAAACAATTAAACAGCCAGAGAAATATCTGTCCATTCAAATATAATTAACACTGGACTGGTTATAGCTAAAGTAATAATGGAAACAAATGAAATAAGGCACCAATATTCGAGAAAAACATGGAACAAAGTATCTGATCTGAAGCGTAATGTTTCTGCGAGAAGAAACAAAGAATATAACGAATTCAAATGCAAGACTTGTATCCTACTCGCCCTCCTCCAGCTGCATATCCCCATGAATAAATACATGTTTAGCAGTGTAATGACATTTGATGCAACTTGCTGTCTGCAGTCTGCAGTCTGCACAGCATACTACTTTTATAACACAGCACTTCATTATTTTCATGTTTCATTTATACATTGTTAAATGGGGAAATCAGAACATCATAACGACCATTTTAATTCTTCTTATTAGTTATGCCTATTGGACGAGTAAAACCAATCCGCTTCAAAAGGACTAAAAAGAAATCATCTCTGGCCTAGTTTATCTAAAAGGTCTGCGACTTATGTAACAACCCTGTCTCTATTGTTATTTTTAATAGAGCATATAGAGTCCTTTGTGAATAAGCCTACACTTGTAGAATAGCCTGCACATCTCGGTATACCATTAAGAAAGAATATGAATTGTGCTGCTGCTGTAGAACATAAATCTGCCTACCTAGTCCCAGAAAGGCGCAGCTGCACACCCAAGAGGGTCAGCGTTATTTCGCTGTATTCTCCCCTTGATTATACGAGCTGAGCCCATCAAACCCAGCGTAATTACAGTAATTTCGCCCTTATTTATTCTAATGCAGTTTCCTATCTCTGAGGTAATTATGAGCATTTTTTTTCACATGAAGGATCTTTCTGCTCTGACAAAGGAGATAGTGCTCTGAAAGAAATGTGCTGCTGCAATAGAAAAAAAAATTAAATAGCGAAATAGGTGAGCTGCCATTTCGTCACTGTTCCCTTAGACTTATCCTATGTGTAAGGCAGGCAAATTGCTTGCAGGTGTACATCATGGAGTTGTCAATGCGAGGAGGCTTCAAAATTAGCAGAGCACAATGTAAGAGTAATGAGAGCAGCGACTGGATTAAAGAACACCTTGTGTCTCCCCTTCCTTACATATCTTCCATGTGCACAGCTCTCTTACAAGATTTTTAGCAGCACATTAAATACACTGGAGACCTTTTTTTAATAGCGAAGTCACAGGGAAAAAAAATAGGACCCAGTCTTTGATGTAAAAGAATCAGCAATATTCACAAATTTCTCTTGGAATAAAACATAGATTATTTCAAAAGATAAATTAACGAATCAAGCCTGTTTCCTGTTTTTTGATGACATTCTTTCAATCGTTGCACTACTTGAATATTTAAGAAATAAAATATATTACACACCTTTCAGCTGGAAATAAAGAAGCTGGCTCCCTCTGGATTTTGCAGGAATCAGCATGGAGGTAGATGAGCAGCAGCATCCTGCAGAACAAGATAGAAGCGCTTAAATCCCACAAAATGTGTCCCATGTGTTGGTCTAGCTATAGCAGCACAGTTCAGAATATGACTGGAAATGTCTGCTTTATTTCCCCTTTTTATAGCTGATGGGAAAAAATGTAGATTATTAGCATAAATGTTTACTCCTCATTACGCTGATGACATTGTGCACTCGAGATCTTGGTAATCTTTGGGGGAAATTATGAGTAATTTTTAAAAATTTAAAGCAGCAGTTACCATGCAATTCAGGCTAATTTCGCGTAGGCTCCACACGGATATAATTATCGTTGAGTCAAGATGTTAGGCTAAAAACTATGCATTGATATTCCCATTTATTATGTACATGCAAGTTCGAAAATGTTGATGCTTGCCATAGCGGGGAATTGTCTTGGGTAAAAATAGACTAACACCCCATATTAGGACATCTCAAATTGCGAAGAATTATATAGTAATTGCAGGCTTTCAGATTTGAAAGCCAGAATGCTCAAGCCAGAGAAAATGTGGATGAAATTACAGATCAGGGTATAAATTAGGATGGCATTTACAAGTTGCCTGCAGAATTGCAAAAGCAAAAGCAAAGCAGCTCAAAACCCATGAAGGAAGTCACATGGAGCAGCAGTAAAACATACAAATCATTTATTATAATCATTATTTTTTAGGACGAAATCGATATATTTTATTGTTTATAAACATGTGTTGATTGATCCACAGCTGGTGTAAAGCCACACATGAGAGAGGAGATATTTGGTGCAGTGTATACAGCCTTGTTATGATGCATGCACTTTTTCTGTACAATATACGAGTTCAATGTACAATAACACTAAGGGCTATCTAGGGTCCTATGTGTGTAGATGTAATGTGTTGTCACACAGACCTGCTGCATGTCAGCTCCAGGGAGGAGGCTCCATCATGGAGATATAGCAACCGCTGACAAGCTACAGTCCTAATTATGTACAAGGAAACGATCCCACTTTATGGCCTGTGGTGGTTTGAAGAGAAGCGTGTGGGATAGACAGTGATAGCCATGAATGAGAACTAAGTGATGGGACTTCGTATTAATAATAAGACCCCTTACCTAATTTCATACTACCCTATTCCTGGCAGCAATACATTTTTTTTTTTGGAAGTGTGTCTCTGTTTACCATGTAGCCTGCAGGCCCTATATAAATAATGTAGGTCAATGTGCTCCTCTTCAGAGATCAGAGGCTCGCTTGTGAGACATGAGAAATGTTTCCATGATGCTGTTTAGCTCCAGGCTGACTTGGAACTATAGTTGCTCTCTTTTTCTCCTGTTAGGCTGAGTTCATAAAACGCCTGGAAAGCGACTCCCTGACTCCACAGAGTCTGAGGAGCTTGTGCTCATTCATACCACCCTCATCTTCCCCTCTCTCGCATGCCAAGGCGTGTTGTTGTGTTGCCTCCCCCTACATGGAGAGCCTGCGCCCCGGGCCTCTCTCTCTGCCTCTGCCTGCCCGAATGAGCCCGAGTCCGGCTAATCATCCTCTGAAGGAACCGGGTAAAATAACCCGAGACAGTTGAGGAATTGTCTTTAGATTTTCCACGTATGTGATCGCCCTTTTAATGACAAACACCATGTTATTGTTATAAGAAATAGCTATTAATCAGTGTTAGCTTGCTTTAAAGGTATGCTAGGCTAACAGCTTAAACTCCAACTGTGCTCACTAAAAAGCTAACACGGTTGCCAAGTAACAACACAAGGTAACCTTGCTATTGATTTTGTTTGCTACAGGTGTGCGTAAAACGGGTATTGTTATTTATTTATTTGACCGAGTTTCAGCATATGACAAACCAAAAAACAGGTAGCCTAACTATAGTTTAAATAAATCACAAAAACATATTTGTTGCTGCTTGTTTTTATGAGTTTACCATATATGTTACATTTGTAATATTACACTTATGCTTGCACACATTTTACAATGGAAAATTATGCAGTCTATTAAGTGAAGCTACGCTAAAAACAATGTATATGTTATCTAAATAGCTGTACAATAGAGTTGACTCAAATACAAAAACAAATAAATAAATATAATCATTAAAATAGCCTTTATAATTATTTGTTGGCTCTCTAGAAATGCAATAACAAAAAAGCAACAAACAATTCCCCGGTCATCCATAAATCCAAATGTAGGTCAAGAAAAAGAGAAATAGGTGTACACAGAAAACATTTTTATTTAAATAACGTCTGGCATATATGGAACACTGCTAAAATAAATAAGACACAAATACAATAAAGTGTGATACAAGTAAATCAGAGGGAAGGACAATCAGTAGCTTACGGGGGTAAATGGATTTGTACCAATAGCCTTTAAAAAAAAAAAGAATAGTCAAAGAGCTGTGGTAAAATATTTACAAACTTATATTCAGACCCCCCTGGCCCATATTTTTAAATAAACTAGTGACATAAGGAGTGAATAAAAATAAAGGCTACGCTGTCTTAATCGTACAACAAAATTAGATCATATTGAAAAAGGCACGATACAGTTAAGTTGTGCTACATTTGTGTGACAGGTTGTCCTGCGATGGATATGTTGTTTCTGCAGAAATGGCAAAAAAGTGACGTCCGCGTTAAAGTAGGCATGTGTCCGTGCTGTGATTGCTTTGGGTAATAGTGGTTCATTCAGTCCCTCGACATAAACTAAATAAATAAATACAAAAATAACTGTAAAAATCTGCGACTACCATTTGCAAGCGTGAAAACTGGCAAGGTCCATAAGCCTTTCTGGCTCCATCAACTTCTCCTAGATGCTTGCGTAAAGTTCGCAAGGCGCACACGAGGTCTGTAAAAATGAAGGTATTGGCATTTTTCTTTTTTCACCAGTATTGTCCGATTTGAACCCGATAATTGTGTTGTTTTTGTTTGTTTCAGAATATCGTCCCAGCGCTTATGGCGGAGTTGTGGTGGTGCTGGATCAGAGGAGCCTGCAGATGCGTCGCAGAGTTCGTGGAGTACCAGGAGTAGTTTGCCAAAAACGATGAAGGCGCAGTCGTGTTGGGAGGGCTGCTGCTCTGAGGTAAACTGGAACTGACAAGGTTCATTCTTTGAGTCTGTGGAAAGTCCCAGGCAGAAGTTGGCGGAGAATTGCAGGGGGGGGATTCGCAGCAAGCAACAAGCTCTGGGGGCATTTCTCCACTTTTCCACAACTTCTTGAACTTGGAGCGGCGGTTTTGGAACCAGATTTTGATCTGAGAAGGAAACAGGATATAAGCATGAAATTGATTAATCATAATTTTTCGGCTCAAATCCCCCCCACAGTTATGCATTTATTTTCATTTATCACATAAAGTGGTTATTTGACATGTCTCAGATGCACCCACCTGTGTTTGCGTAAGGCCCATCGATGCTGCCAGCTCGGCCCGCTCTGGTAGAGCCAAATACTGCGTCTTTTGAAACCTCCGTTGAAGTGCAGCCAGTTGGAAGCTGGAATAAATGGTTCGAGGTTTCCTGACCTTCTTTGGTTTTCCATTAACCATCCGGATTTCTGGCTCTCGCTGTTCTTTCTCTGAGGGAAAAATAAAATCACATGATCAGTATTGCAAGTTTCCAGTTGCATACATCTATTAAGAAATTGCACGGCCATCAGTTTGGTTTAAACATATATGTTTCCACCAGATAATATATGTTTTAGAGTTGTAGTCTATTATAATAATTTAAAAAATATTTAAAAAAGTGTGCTTGATAAGATTTGTGTCAAACAAGGCTACTATTATTGAGCCTTATCAGTGTTTTGTCAAACAATTGTGTGTACTGACCAACAAATAATTGTATTTTACAATTATATTGTACATGATTCAGCTTGCTCCTTGTCAATCTAAAGCAAGCTTCGCCTCAACTAAAAGCATGGCATATATTACATTGTATATCAAACAACATAACTTTAAAAAACAAGCGTAAGGGCTTACCTGTATCGACTGGAGAAGGAGGTGAGTTGGTGCCGTAGGAGCTGTATGCACCATAAGATGAGTTGAATCCAAGGTCGTAGGGCTTTGCGTTATATGGCACCGCGCTGGGGGCATTGCCGTGGTACTGGTAAGACAGTTGGCCAAATGGAGACCCTGCGCAATGGCCCGGCTGCTGGCTGTTGTAATAGCTGCTGTCCGTCGCCGTGGACACTGGCAGAGTTGGGGACTCCTGCGATTTGTGCAAGCTGTGGTAATTGCTTGAGGTAATCTGGTTGGAATGCATATCTGTATTTAAATTCTCAAAAACTGCGGTCATCCTCCTGTTGTCGTGGAGCAGCCTTCTAACCTATGCGCAAAAAATCAGTAAATTGCAAAACTCTCGCACGCTGAAAAACAAGACTCGAATCTTGGACTGATGACACCTTTTCGTGAATCGAAACGCATCCCTGTGTAAACTGGGGCAAAATCAGCGGAAGGTGTGTCCCTGTCAGAGTGGCCTGTGATTATCTGCTACGGTCGCTGGTGGGAGCGCATTTATGAGAGAGGGAGAGGGAGCGCCACTGAGGCAACCAATGAGTAAAGGCTGCACGACTGACTACTCCCCACCGCGTCCACCCCCCAGTCCTTGTTCTGTCTGTCCCTGTTGTCTGCAGAGAGGTTTCTATCAAAGCTTCTCAAAAGAATCAGAGAAAGATACCGTGACCGAACATGCAGGCCCAGCAGGTCTGGACCTACAACACGGATTAAATTGTTCACCTCTGTGCAAAATGAGTTTATTAGAAGACAACATGACCTCAACATATGGAGTAGCCTAGCCCTAGTGCATATCATGAAAAGGCAACATGTAATTTTTGACGCAAATTAGTTGTACTGACATTGAGGTTAACCTTCTTTATCTAAAGGTTACATTTGTTAGTACAGTATTTAGATTTGTGTCTGTTTTTTCTTTTGTTCAGTTGTAACCAAATGTACATGTGTTATTCTTTACATTTTGGTCTTCACGTTTTTGGTTTTTTTATTCTGAAAAACGGTCAGTTACAAAATAATTTAGAACCTCGCAGATAAAGGGAGGGACACAGGGAGAAGGTCAAAAGGGGGAAATAAATGTGTTGATAGAAA